ACGACAAACAAGTGGTCATCAAATTGCTTACATTCAGCCGAAAATGTATTAAATGGGCAGAAATTAGCATAATTATTGTAGCTGGTGTAATGCTCGTAGCGTTTTTATATATATTTGGACTTGGTTTAAAATCGCCCTCGTTCACAATTGTAGTGTACCAAATTATTCACAGCATACTATGCGCACTTAACGGTCATTATATAAATTGCATAGTAATCTGGCAATTAGTGTATTACGCGGTTATTGTATACTACTTATCGCTTAAAATTCAAATAATTAATCATAGTTTAAGTAAATTTGAGAAATGCACACAAAATGTTAGCAAAATTATGCGTAAACTAAACGATTTATTCACAGAAATCGGCGATTATAACCGTATTTATTGGCAATACTTTTTGGCTATTTATTGGTTTCTCATAACTATATTTATGGCATTTTTACTATACATTGTATTTTATTGGAATGTGATTATCATTGTAGGAGTGTGTGCCCTCCTGCTATTTATACAAATGCTAATGAGCTTGGTGTTTATTATACATTATTCAGCCATCCTTAATAAGCAAAATAAAATTGGGTACAAATATCTCAACAATTATTGCGTACGAAATACAGCTAATGTATCGTCGACTACAAAGTTAAAGGTATGCCACGTATGATATAGTTTTACTTTGTATCTAACAATGTTATAAACACTTAACTATATTATAAATCAAATCTCATTTACAGTTAATGGCATTCATTGAGCGATTGGGTCAAAAAGGTATCGGATTTTACTGTTGGAAAGTATTTCTCATTACAAGATTCAAAGGATATGAGGTTTGCATTGTTTTTGGTATTACATTGTAAACAAATTTTAAATGCAATTTCTTTTATAGATTTTAAGTGTAATTGTGGTGCTATTCATGAAAATTATTATTATGTCTAGAAATAAGTCTATATTTTAATTAGCGTTTACGTTTTTAATACCAGTCAATACTTATACTGTACCTTGGGTACCTTATTGTACATTAGACTCAATACTGTGAATACATATAGCAAATAGTTTATTTTACAGTCTGAATCTTAAATGTTTTGATCTGTATTTAAAGGTACAAAGACAATTTAGGACTTGTTTAATGCAAATTTTAATTGACTTGCTTTAATAATCATACTATAGTAATATTATAATTATTTCTTATATGTGTAAAAGGTTAGTAATATAATTTATATATCATGTATTAACTAAATTAATTTTACAATGAAACTAACTTATATCTCATTATATAATATTAAATATTATATACATTTTATTGATTTCAAAATTGGTCATTTAATATATCATTTAATTATTGAACTTTTTGAATTATGACACTGTACATTAAATGTACTACCGACATAAACTTTTAAAAATACGGATACAGAGCACTGGTAGTCAAAAAGTATCGGCGACCGAGTGTTTGGTTCTCTAAGGGCTTCCACTGTATGGCCTCCTCTCCAATGGTCGCACAATTGGCGGCATTCGCGGCACAATTGGCGGGACACCCACCGCGCCGGTAGGTGTCGTAGTCCGAGCACTGGTAGCCCACGCCCCTGGGATTAGTGCCACTAACAGTAGCCATGTAAAAATCAATGGCCCTTAAATGGTTGCACGCGGTTAAGCCGGATAAACCTAAAAATACAAATATATAATATTATCTAGGCTATATGTTTTTAACTATTAGTATGTTTCTATTAGGGAACCATGATCATTTTAATTTACTGCTAAAATATTAATGTAACCCATTGTAAATTTTATGATTACCATGGGTGAGTATGTTAGGTAGTCTACCCAAAAGGCACCCTGGTTGATCGTGACCGCCATTAGGGAAAAAGTCCAAATGTCCCGAATTCTCCAGTGTTCCCAAACCTCCATTCTTGGTAGCATCCGAATGAATTACGTCCACAAATTGTCCCTGATTAAAGAATTAATTAAATTTATTTTATTAGATAAATTAGCATGGTGATTCCATACATCAGTGTGATCGAGCCTATCCTTTGCACTTAAGCCGTCGAATTGAGGGCCTATTGATTTAGCAAGTTAAATTATTTGCAAAGTGTAAGTTTAATTTAAATATAAGTTGACATGTACCAGCCGGGTCTAATCCCGTGATACGACCCACCAGTCCATTCAGTGCCTGTCCCGCAAAGCCTGAGATGTGGGCTCCCAATGAATGACCCACTAAATGCACTTTAGATAAGCCGAGTCCCGACACTGACTAGTAATTCGTGATTTATAAGAAAATAAATTAAATATTATTTTTAATAAATTAGTTTAATTTCTAATAATATTTATCTTGCTTGCTTGTTCATTTTGTTAATAAATAAAAGTTTTCCATTTTAATATTAAGGAAAATTATACTGGTATAGATAATTCCATATGTTTTATATACAAAGGTCCTTGTTTATTTGTAGTTTTTATTTAAGTAAATAAAAATAATATTTATTTCTAGAATTAACATTAATCAAACACATCAAGCTCAAATACAAATGCAATTTTTATTTATTGATACCTTTAAGTCGTTAATCATCCTGGCAGTTAGATTTCCAACAACACGTGTATTTGCTATTGCCTGTATGTGTACAAAATAATATATCACCTTGATTATAATTTCTTACATTTACATTCAAATAACATTTGTATTACAAAAATCTATAATAAATATAATTATTTAATATAATTATTTTTTCAAATAAATTGTGAAATAAAAGTGGCAAATTTTTTAATTAATCAAAATAATCAAGGTTACTAGTAGAAACATAATGATTAACTAAATTAAATTACTTATTTTAATCTGGCACCAATTTATTATAATATTTCTGTCTGTTTACTATATTAATGGTAAATTACATAGATCAAATAATGATTCAATTATTTTTTACAGGGTATCAGAAATTATAAAATTAATTATTATGTGCCTGGCTAATCTTACAATACTTACTGTATTTTTAACAAAAATTTCATATAATGTTAAATAATGCTATTTTTGTATTTAGTTCGACATAAATATTTATTAATTTATTAGAATACAACTAACTTTAAATTAAAATATATAACTAACAAAGTCAACCTAATAAGACTTTAAAATTCTCATACCTGTTCGTACTGTCCATTAGCACCACCACTCCAGTCCACAATAAATACATTATAATCGCCCGCATCTAACCACAGGTCCTTTAAACGCAACATCCAGGGTCCTTGCTGTAAATTAGTGGCGTAGCCATGGGTAATAAACTTGGTAGGCTTCCCACCGTCAAAATCTGAAAGTTTGATGCCATCCCGATCGCCCAGGGTGATCACCTGCTCCACCTTTGGTACATTACGCGTGAATAGTAGGAACCGGGTGTTAATCTGTTCAGGTTTTTGTGGGGCCGGTATTGTGGCTGTCCATAATAGGTCGAACCAGCTAGATGCTAGGATTATAAGCAAGTAGGTGATTTTTAGTGAGATCATTTTTATGATCAAATAGGTATTATGTAATATATATGTAAGTTTATTTAAACGCCAGAATATTCTGTGTGTTTTCAACAGTTTGTTCCACTATTTATATAAATGTTAATGATAATTTATCATGGTCTTTAAAAACATATTTCTATTTTGATCAAAAACAATTGGCGTAAGTTTGTAACGATTAATATAACATTATTATGTAATTCAAAAATATCTAATTAATTATTAAACGTAATACATCCTGGTTTGTTATTTTCAAAACAAAGCAATATCTCATATTTATAAAATTTAATGAAGTTTAGTTTTAACTTTTTATATAGAATCTCCTAACTATAATTATTTTAATCTAAAATTTTAATGTTACCCCTTTTGTACTTATATTATTATACAAATTATATATTAAAATCTTTTAAAGTTAAATCTGTCAATAGTTAGAATTACTATTAAAATAATAATTATTATGTTGGTATAATAATACAGTAGACATGGATACATGGCATGAATTAAAACATTTACATTTTATTTTATTTATTTAATTAATAATATTTAATTTTTAGATACATTATAATAAACAACGTCACACTGTTTTAAAGCAATAATAATTTAGTATAATTTTAAAAATCAAAAAGATTGATAACTACAAACATTTCAATATTTCCAGTTTAATCTAGTATGTTTGCAATCATTAATAAATACAACGGTTTTTAAAATTCGAATCATTTAACCATAATTGTCCCATGTGCTATATTTAGCATAGTGATTGGAGAAAAAATATTTTAAAATGTCATTTCCTATTACAAAATGTATTAATTTATTTAATGATTTTAATTATTTAATTTAATAAAATTAAATATATTTTAAAAATAGATTAGATGTACGAAATATAAGCAATACAAGCGTCACATTGCCATACGTTTACCATATGGTTACTAGTTTTATAAAGTAAAATTGTGGTCAAAATAAAATCATACCTAGTGGTGAATAGTGTGTTAATTGTCCATGTGTTTTTCTAGCGCCTTGGCAGCGGACACAACCAACGAATTGTATCTAAATCCTGCGAATTTACTACCCTGGCTAATATCACAACTATCGGCCGCCTTTATTAATTCACTGGATGTCTCAACCCGTGCCACTATTTCCGGACAAATTGATAGGAACTCCGAAACAAATTCACGAATTTCGCCCTGGCTGAATAAGTCGCAATGTTGCTTATAATACTCTTTTATGGCACTAAATTGGGCATGATTTTATAGACAAATATTAAAATCTATCACTTTCTATATTTAAAATAAATAAATTTATAAGTGTAGATTTATATACATGCAGTTGATACCTTAATATTTATTTAAACCTGCGTATGTGTATTTTATTGTGATATTAGCCAGGGTAGTAAATTCGCAGGATTTAGATACAATTCGTTGGTTGTGTCCGCTGCCAAGGCGCTAGAAAAACACATGGACAATTAACACACTATTCACCACTAGGTATGATTTTATAGACAAATATTAAAATCTATCACTTTCTATATTTAAAATAAATAAATTTATAAGTGTAGATTTATATACATGCAGTTGATACCTTAATATTTATTTAAACCTGCGTATGTGTATTTTATTATACATATGTATGTGTCTATTTCTATATGTTTATCTATTGTCTCATTAGCGCTCATTCAATTAGTACATACGCAAAGGGTGGGGGAGGGGGTCAGTAAAAGCATGCGTACACAATGTTAAAGTCCTATGTACGATGGGATTAAGTAGGGGAGCGGGGTCAGATTTTAGACATATTTTTGCGTATATACTTATTGAATGGCCCCTTGGGTATATTACCATAGAATTGTGGGTAAGTCAATCTTGCTACTATTCTGAATGGCTTCATTAAGGACACCAAGGGTATTTTTGGCGATCATGTTTGCATTGTTACTTCCAAATTTAGAATTAAACTCTTTAGTAATTGCCACTCGATTTGGGTGTAGACAAAGGGCAGGCGACAACTTCGATAAAAGCTCTGGCATCGGGATAAACGATAGCACACTACTGGTCCTTGGTCCCAACGAGCTTATCCATCTAATTGTTATGGCAACTTCCTGAAAACTATAGTTTAATAATGTAATTTTTAAAATAAGATTAACATTTATAAAACATTTTCGAGGAGTGTGGGTGAGTGGGGAGGGGGTAAAAGAAAATTAATTTTTAAATAAAATTGCAGCAATTAAAATAATTGAAGTTTTTCAAACAAAGATCAAAATTAATTTCATTCAAGATTTTTAAAAACCACTTTACAATTATAAGGAATTGACTATTGGCATACTGTGGTGTTTTAAAATTTTCTAGACTTTTGACTTTTGTATTTCAATTCAAAGGCAATTAACAGCAATTATTAAGACAAAAAAGTTTAAAAAATTATTTTCCCGACAAAACTATGATTCGTCATATTATAGTCTATAACATGGGGATACTCTATAATACCTTCACACCCATTAGTTCTGCCGCATAAGGCCTAAACCCAAAAACGCTTAAACCCCTAAAAGCCTAAAACCGAAATGGCCTAAGGTCAAATTACTAACTTACCAGTGGACATATTTCTGATTTGCTTAGTGAAATAGACGTGTCTTAACTAAAAATAAACAACCCTAACCTAGATTAGGTCAAATGACCATTGGCCAGTTAGTTATTCAAGTTTAGGCTTTTTGGGTTTTAGACGTTTAGGTTGAATCCTCACCTATTACATACTCATCATCTAAGCTAATTTTATAGTTTATAACAACAACTATGAAAAGTCTGTATTAAAGTCAATACGAAACTAAACAATAGCTGCGTCTAAAAGAGGGTTCAGAAGGGCATCCAAGGGTCGGGTGAGGACTTGATTTTTAACTTATCTGGAGGGTTGGGATTTTAAAAATTAGGGCTGAGTTAGGTCAAGATTTAAATAAATTTAGGGGAACTAGTACTCAACGTACAAATTGCCCCGAGATGTAAATTCCACTTACAAAGTGGTGCCAAGAGTTGTGAAGTCACTCATTGTCGAGCAAAATATGTTCATCTCGTCGTCGGTCTCCGGCAGCGCCCGGTTATGGTCTCCTAAAAGTTCATATTTCAATAGGATCTCGCTCATTTTCTCATGATCCCGATAACCGATAGTGCTATCTACGGTACATATTAAATTAAAAATGTATTACAAAACATAACACATACGATTTCATAACTAAATTTATTAATACCTTTGAGAAACTTATCAGGTCTGACCTGGACTGGGACCAACTGGGCGGGATTGACCTGGGTCGCCAAAGGATTAAAACTTTCCTGAGGTGACCAGGACAAGGTCGCACCTTGATAATATAAAGTCCAGAAATTGTTAACATATAGATTTACATATTTATAGGCAAATTGTATAAATTAATAATAAACGCACAACTTTATGCTGATCTAATATTGAAATCTTGTTTTATTTTTAATTATTTAAGAGTAATTTATTATTTTTATTTTTATAAAACGACTACTTTAAAAATTGTCAAAATCTCAAACTAATTAAATTACAATATATTAACATTAGCTAAGGATTCATAAGGTTTTTCATTAACATTCATTCAATTTGACATAAATATTATAAAAACATTTAAGATTACGATAAACCACTTACCAAACAGAGACAACGCCAATACCATAAAATTTATACAATTCATGTCTTATTTATAATAAAATCTAATAAAAGTTTTTAAAATTATAAATTCAATGAAAACTGTATATTGCTTGAGAAAAATGTCTGTCCTATATACTCCAAACTACCGGCACATAACACATGGTTTAATGCAATAACCAATGGTAACATCGGATTCATGGACTGATAATACGTGCATTCAATTAAACGTCTAAAAAACACATTACACCCAACCCTACGCTCATGAAATAAATTTAATAATAAATAATTAAAAATAGACTCACAAAACATTTGATATAAAACTTATTTGCTAAATATTGATGATGACACAGGTACATTTTAACGCAATAACTTGTTAATAATATCCTGTATATAGATTACATATAAATTTATTAAATCCAAAAAAATAATAATAAATTGCTCTAATTATTATTTTTTAGCGGCTATATCCTAAATTAATATATTAACCTTGGTCACGCTATGAGACCTTGTCAATGAAATATATTAACCTTGCAACTAGTCAATAGTTTATAGTCTAAACTTTAGACTGTAAAGTTTGCCTAAAAAATTGTATTATTACTAAATGTAATTAAATACCTTGTATACTTTTAATTACAATACTTTCAATTAAAGCAAGGATTGGATATTAAATATTATTGAAAACATGTTTTTACATTATGTGTTGATACAGTTTATTTTTTTAAATTAAAAATTTTAAAATTAATTATAATGTAAGGAATTTTCAATTAAAAAGTGGTACTGAAGTGGTGGACACGGATAGTAATCTCCTTAATGATATAAATCATTTACAGATGGAGACAAATATTTACAAGATTTATAAGTTTTATTAATACTTAATATTTAATTATAAAGTTAGCTCGCACACATATAGCCTTTCAAGTGAATCTGCCACGATTATCTGTTTAATAACTTGCTTATTAATTGTAGTAAAAATCAATACTTTGGCACACTTATCAGGTATTATGAGGTAACCTTCACAAAACAAGAATATTCTGTATTACATCAAGAATTTTCTGTGATATTGGATGATTTTCTGGACCCATAGTCAGCGCAAAGATTGCTAATGTTAAAACTATACAAAGCTAGGGTATGGTAGAGGGGATACTATATTTTAATAATATCAAAAAATAATTAAAAATATATCGGATGCTGACTTACAGTTCAATTTTGAAAATGCTCAATTCCGTCATAGACTCCCATATGTTTGAAAATTTTGAAAATGTTTTGTGCCTAATCTGCGCTGACTATGGGTCCAGCAAATCATCCAATTTCACAGAATACTCATGTTTATTCTGGGTTACCTCATAATGAACTTTAAATGTGCCAGAGTATAAATTTTTGCTTTACTTAATAAGTGAGCTATTAAACAAAACCCCATCCCATTTTTTTTATTGATCCAGTTTATTTAAGCAGTATTTTCAAACATTATGTTTGCTATCTCAATAAACTGGTCATAATTAATAGATTAAGAATTATTTTGACTATTATAGACATTTGATTGGGTGGAAAGTATAAAGGGCTCTATACTTTTATACACTTTTATTTATTTTTGTGCTTGAGTCTATTAGTGAATTTTCACCTTACACATTGCTTACTAAATATTCGTATGAATATTAGACACATTAAAAAAATATTTAGAGGCCTTTATACTTTCCACCCAGTCATTTATCGATAGTGCTATCTATGGCAGCTATTAAATTAAAATTGTATTACAATTCATAGGAGATACAATACTCATTACTCTTAATACCATTTATATAATTTAGAGGCCTTTATACTTTCCACCCAGTCATTTATCGATAGTGCTATCTATGGCAGCTATTAAATTAAAATTGTATTACAATTCATAGGAGATACAATACTCATTACTCTTAATACCATTTATATACTTATCAAGTCTGGCCTGAGCCGGGACAACGTTCGGGACAAACAGTCCCGCAGAGGAGACAACAGCAAAGGGATTAGGAACTTTAATTATAATTAAAAATTACAAATTATAGCACAGAAAATACTTTTATTAAACAAATAAGCTAGAATAAATTTGGTAATAGGGTGTTAATTGTCCATGTGCTTTTCGAGCGCCTTGGCAATGGACACGACCATAGAATTGTGTCTAAATCCTGCGAATTCACTACCCTGGCTAATATCACAATTATCGGCCGCCTTTATTGATTTACCGGATGCCTCAACCTGTGCCACTATATCCGTTATAGGCGATAGAAAGTCCGAAACAAATTTGCGAATTTCGCCCTCGCTGAATAATTCGCAATGTTGCTTATAATATTCGTTCATGGCACTGAATTGGGCATTAATTTTATAAATAAATATTTAAATCAATCACTTTTTATATTTAAAATAATAATATTTATATGGGCAGATGTAAATACATCAAACAGGAGCAAAAATGTAATTGATTGTTAGCCCCATTGTTCAGCTGACTTAAAAAATAATTCATAATAATCATTATTTTTATAACTTATTTTCCACTTTTTCTAATTCATATCAACTTATCTATAATACCTCAACTCATTTAAAATAATATTGAATTTGTGTATTGGTTTTGAGAATGTCATTATAAATGTTGTAATATGGCCATTTGTGGGTGAGGTGGGGGTCAACCAATGAATGCGTACACAATATTAAAGTCCTATATAAGATGGGAATAATTAGGAGAGGGGTGCGGCAAATGTTTTAGACAAATTTTTGCGTACGTACTTATTGAAAGACCCCTTAGATATATTACCATAGAATTGTGGGTAAGTCAATCTTGGTACTATTATGGATTGCTTCATTAAGGACACCAAGGGTGTTTTTGGCGATCATGTTAGGATTGTTACCAAGTTTAGAGTTAAACTCCTTAGCAATTGCCAATCGGTTGGAGTGTAGGCACAGCGCGGGCGTAAACTTCAATAATACCGGTGGAGTCGCGAGAAACGAAATCACACCACTGGTCCTTGGTCCCAATGAGCTCATCCATCTAATTACTATGGCAAGGTCCTTAAAACTATAGGTTAATAATTAAATTTGTGAAATATGATTAACATTTATAAAACATCTGCGAGGGATGGGGTGGGGAGGGACGAAAATAAAATTAATTTTTAAATAAATTTTTGGTTAATAAAATAATTAAGGTTTTTCACACCAATATCAAAGTTAATTTCATTAGAGATTTACTACACTTTTGTCAGTAAATCCGCTCAATTTATTCCCATTTAAAGGCAATTAACAGCAATTATTTAGACAAAAATATTTAAACAATTATTTTCCCGCCAATAATATGATAGAGTCTATAACGTGCGGATACTCTACAGTACGATCACACCCATTGGTTCGACCCCAAACGGCCTAAACCCAAAATGGCCTAAAGTCAAGTAGCTAACTGATCAGTTGACATATTTTTGAATGGATTAGTGGAATATACGTGTCTTAACTAAACCTAACCAATCATAACCTAAATTATGCCAAATGACGATTGGTCAGTTAGTTATTCAAGTTTAGTCTTTTTGGGTATTAGGCGTTTAGGCTCACTCCCCACCCATTATATATATACAATGACTAAGCAAATCACGTGGAATTAAATCTTTTTCAATTTTATAAAATTTATTGGTTTATAAAATTAAATAAGTTTATAGTTTATAACAACAACTATGAAAAGCTTGTATTAAACTCAATACGAAACTAAACAATAGCTGCGTCTAAAAGAGGGTTCAGAAGGGCATCCAAGGGTCGGGTGAGGACTTGATTTTTAACTTTTCTGAAGGGTTGGGTCGGGCGAGGGTTGGGCTTTTTAAAATGAATTTTACGAATGGTCGAGATTGTACGTGAATTTAGGGGGACCAGTACTCAACGTACAATCATGGTAAAAAATTGCCCAGAAATGTAATGACACTTACAATGTGGTGCCAACGGTTGTGAAGTCACCCAAAGTCGAGCAAAATATGTTCATCTCGTCGTCGGTTTCCGGCAGCGCGCGGTTATAGTCCCCTAAAAGTTCATATTTCAATGTGATCTCGCTCATTTTCTCTTCCGAATAACCGATAGCGTTATCTATGGCAGCTATTAAATTAAAAATGTATTACTATTCATAACACATACGCATTCATTACTATTAATACTTTTGAGATACTGTCCAGGATTGACCAGGGCTATCAAACAATTAGGGGATTAAACATGTATTACAAATTATATACACATTAAATACTCATTACCATGAATACCTTGTGCGGGTTGCGGGACGAACGGCACGGGGTTGACCGGGACCACCTGGACAGGATTGACCAGGGTCGCCAAAGAATTAAAACCTGCCAGAGGTTCCCAGGACAAAGTCTCACCTGGATAAAGTAATGTCCAGGAATGATAAAAAATAATTGTTAACTTATTGATTCACATATTTTTGAGTAAATTGTATAAATTAATAATAAAGCCACAACTTAATTTTGAGTTAATTTGGAAATGTTGTTTTATTTTTAATTATTTATGAGTAATTTATAATTTTTATAAATAAATATATGATTTAATTATCCGGCACAACTTTAGATATACTTCTATATAATAAATATAATAAATAATTTATCAATTAGTGAAATATTAGAATTTTAAAAAGAAATTCACTTTTAATTCTTAATTATTTTAAATATTTATTAATAATATTAAATATAAATAATATGTAAATTTATATTATTTATATAGTGTTAAAATATATATATTTGGGCAAAATTTAAATTTATATACTAATTATGATTTTAAAAATTATAAAAATCCCAAACTAACTTATAATTAATTGCATTAGTATTTCATACTGTACTTAATACATAATCATTCAATGTGACATAGATATAAATTATATAATATATTATATAATTATTTAGGATTACAATAAACAACTTACCCATTAGAGACAATGTCAAAACTGTAAAACCAAGATAATTCATGTCAACAAATGTTACTTTTAATTGTGATTTTATTGATTTAAAATTAGTAACAGTATAGTTCAATGATAGCTGTAAAAATGTCTGACTTACGTATTATTGCAAAAACATCTCAAATACCATATGCTTTTTGAAAATTGTTGCTAATAATTAAAAAACTAATTAAGTTTATAAAGATTTATAATAAAGAGTTTGACCGAAAGTTTAGTCTTAAAAAAGTTTCATTCATGGTTATCCAATACAACAATACTCTGATTCGCGTTGACTTCAGTTTTCAAATGTAATTCATTAGTGAAATATTTTCTCATATCTTATAACACCTTAAGCCCTAATTATGGTCACAGTGTTCGGCAAATAACTTAGTTTTTTATTTTTAAGCCATTTTTCGCTGATACTATCAATCAATATTGAATATTTAAACTAAATAAACTAATTACCTTGTTGTTTTGCCAGTCACAGATTCGTGTTGCACGTTGATTCCTACTGGTACTAGGACTGCCAACTATTTTTATTGTCTGGGAGGACAAAAATTATTAAAATGTTTAATTTTTAACGTTGCTGTATATTTTTACTTTTAATAGCTACACTATAATTTAAGCTTAATTCAATTCAATTCAATTCAATTCACTTCAATTTTATTTGCAACTTTTATTTGCAACTATTTAATTACAACTCCAATTCACAATACACTACTTGGTGTCCTCCTAATAATCATTACATAAATTATTTAGTGAATGTTTACAAACTCGAAGTTTATTTTCATGAATTTCGGGAAGTTTTAAGAAAATTAAATGAATATTTGCATTATTTTGACAATTAATTCT